CCATCGCCGTGATTTGAGCTCACCAAGTAAAAACCCACGGGGTGGGACAATTTGGGGTGATTTTAAACACAGCCTGAGATGAGGGAAGCCTCCAAAGCAAACAGGAGGGACAGAGTAAGTTCAGGGTGAGGTCCCAGGGTGTTTTCCCCAGCCTGGGGGGCACTGCCCAGCCCCGGCTTGCGGTGCTGTCCTGGGGACGAGCTGCGGGACAGCCAGACCATGCCCGGCGGGCAGGACACGCAGCTCAGCCTGGTCATTAACCTGCGGTGAGAAGGTGGTGACCAGGCCCTTCCCAGGGTGCCAGCGAGGGCAGCGTGGGGACAGCTATGTTGGGAATAAAGCAGCTTTGATGGCTCAGGGCTGGTGGTGCACATGGGGATGGGACAGGATGGGACGGGTCGTGTGCCCCGTGCTGGGCCAGTGTCACCTCTGCATGAGCTGGCTGCAGAGCAGGACTCGGCTGCTTTGCCTGATGCCGGAGCCCAGGGAATCTGTGAGGCAGGAGACGACCCTAAAATCTGCCCTTGCGCCTCTGCAGCCACCACACAACGCGATGGGTCGGGGAAAGCAACGCCAACACCTACCAAAACTAATCGCGGTATTCGTTCACTTCCCACCCCAAATCCTAGAGCTGATGATTTCTGAACGGAGCAGCCCGGCAGGAGAAATCCATCCCCAGGCAAGGCTGTGGCGAGAAGGACGAACAGAAAGAAAAAGATGAGAAAAACCAGACCACAACAGCAGGTGGACAGGTTGGCTGGGAACCTTCTGAAAAATACATGTAAGCAAGGATGTGGATACAAAATACAGAGAGAGGCGAGACGCGTCCTTTGTAGGGGAGCTGGCGGCTCTCCCTCTTCCCCAGCCAGTCCCTCTCGACCTCACTTGTCCTCCCTCCATCAGTCCCGCACGGGGTACGGCCAATTCTTCATAAAACTGCTTCAGGCCCTGGAGTTAGACGGGGGGGAAGAAAGGGCCAATCCTCTTCCGAATCCCCCACCTCCCCTCGCTGGCGTGCTTTCCCCCGGGTCGGCTGAATTTGTACTTGAAGTGTTCCCCTCGGATCCACCTGCAGAGAAACAGAGCACAGGGGGGCTGGCACCGCCGCCGGGCAGGGGCAGAAAGGTGCCGGACCCTGTTTACGGTCCCCTGGGAGTGGGGTTTTTTGAGCCTTTCCGTAGCTGGATGGAGAAATCAGCTCGAGGGCGCTCAGCCTGGCTGCCCCCCGCATCCTGGTGCTCCCTGCAGCCCTGGGGGGCCCGCAGCCGGAGGCAGCG